TTATTTTAACTTTTTGGGAGGAGTAAAATTTACATATGTGCTTTCAACAACCAGATGCATTTACACTTGTCCAGTTTGGTCTGGAATGTGGCCCAGACCACCTCCTGAAGTGGTTTGAGCAATCAGATTCATATCCGTCTCAAATGAGTGTCGGAGGGCATTTATAACCTGGTCTTTTCACAATCTGATAGCTATTCGATCAGAAAAAACGCATGAAGTGACCAGGTGTAAACAGGCCCTAAGTGTGAAAAAGTATCACCCCCTCTTAACAATGACTTGTAAACTCAATCAGGTGTAACTAATCACCTTCTCAAATGCACACAAAGCCATTGGACTTTCAACTGTGATCAGCTGTGGTCATTTTGATTAGCTCAGCATGAAACAACATTTTACTGGAGCATTTCAGTCCTTGGTAGAGCAACTGAAACAAACAATCAACTATTGGTGGCAAGGCTCTGTCAAACGATCTTCAGGATAAGAGGCAGGAGGAAACTGGTCAGAGAGGCGACCAAGAGGCCTACCGCATCTCTGAAGCAGTTACAGGAATTTATGACAAAGAGTGTTCATTGTGTGCATGTGACAACAATATCACAAATGCTCCACACATGTGGCTTGTAGGGGAGGGTTGCGAGAAAAAAGCCACTCCTCAAGAAAGGCCACATGCAATCACGACTGAGCTTTGACAAAATGCAACTTGAAGATTTTAAGGCCACATGGAAAAAGGTTTTATGGTCAGATGTGACTAAAATTGAATTATGTGGCCTCAACACCAAACAATGTGTCTGGTGGAAATCCAATACAGCTCACCATCCAGATAACAGCATCCCTACAGTAAAGCTTGGAGGTGGTAATATCCTGTTATGGGGGATGTAACAATATTTGCAGATCGGGAAGAAGGAGGCGGGAACCAGCGGACATTTAAACATAATTTAATAATAAAATAAACACAAAAATGAAAATAGTGACACAAACAAAACAACATACAGGTGCATCTCAATAAATTAGAATGTCGTGGAAAAGTTAATTTATTTCAGTAATTCAACTCAAATTGTGAAACTCGTGTATTAAATAAATTCAATGCACACAGACTGAAGTAGTTTAAGTCTTTGGTTCTTTTAATTGTGATGATTTTGGCTCACATTTAACAAAAACCCACCAATTCACTATCTCAACAAATTAGAATATGGTGACATGCCAATCAGCTAATCAACTCAAAACACCTGCAAAGGTTTCCTGAGCCTTCAAAATGGTCTCTCAGTTTGGTTCACTAGGCTACACAATCATGGGGAAGACTGCTGATCTTACAGTTGTCCAGAAGACAATCATTGACACCCTTCACAAGGGGGGTAAGCAACAAACATTCATTGCCATATAAGCTGGCTGTTCACAGAGTGCTGTATCCAAGCATGTTAACAGAAAGTTGAGTGGAAGGAAAAAGTGTGGAAGAAAAAGATGCACAACCAACCGAGAGAACCGCAGCCTTATGAGGATTGTCAAGCAAACTCGATTCAAGAATTTGAGTGGACTTCACAAGGAATGGACTGAGGCTGGGGTCAAGGCATCAAGAGCCACCACACACAGACGTGTCAAGGAATTTGGCTACAGTTGTCGTATTCCTCTTGTTAAGCCACTCCTGAACCACAGACGACGTCAGAGGCGTCTTACCTGGGCTAAGGAGAAGAAGAACTGGACTGTTGCCTAGTGGTCCAAAGTCCTCTTTTCAGATGAGAGCAAGTTTTGTATTTCATTTGGAAACCAAGGTCCTAGAGTCTGGAGGAAGGGTGGAGAAGCTCATAGCCCAAGTTGCTTGAAGTCCAGTGTTAAGTTTCCACAGTCTGTGATGATTTGGGGTGCAATGTCATCTGCTGGTGTTGGTCTATTGTGTTTTTTGAAAACCAACGTCATTGCACCCGTTTACCAAGAAATTTTGGAGCACTTCATGCTTCCTTCTGCTGGCCAGCTTTTTGAAGATGCTGGGTTAGGGCTATTTCATTTTCCAGCAGGATTTGGCCCCTGCCCACACATTTTCCAGCAGGAAAAGTTGGTTAAATGACCATGGTGTTGATGTGCTTGACTGGCCAGCAAACTCACCAGACCTGAACCCCATAGAGAATCTATGGGGTATTGTCAAGAGGAAAATTAGAAACAAGAGACCAAAAAATGCAGATGAGCTGAAGGCCACTGTCAAAGAAACCTGGGCTTCCATACCACCTCAGCAGTGCCACAAACTGATCACCTCCATGCCACGCCGAATTGAGGCAGTAATTAAAGCAAAAGGAGCCCCTACCAAGTATTGAGTACATGTACAGTAAATGAACATACTTTCCAGAAGGCCAACAATTCACTAAAAATGTTTTTTTTTGATAGGTCTTATGAAGTATTCTAATTGGTTGAGATAGTGAATTGGTGGGGTTTTGTTAAATGTGAGCCAAAATCATCACAATTAAAAGAACCAAAGACTTAAACTACTTCAGTCTGTGTGCACTGAATTTATTTAATACACGAGTTTCACAATTTGAGTTGAATTACTGAATTAAATGAACTTTTCCATGACATTCTAATTTATTGAGATGCACCTGTAAAATCCAGTTCTTGTCCTCCTCCTTCAATGTCGTTACTCCTCCTTTTATCCTTCCGGAGCTCCTCCGTGGGACTCGAGACCAGTGAGTGGTGCAGGTGTCGCTCATTATCATTCACTCCACCGGCCACGCTCTGTTCCCACGGCTCTCGACCCCGCCCCACTCGTCACATGGGACTTTCTCTGCAGCAGGGACTGGAGCACTTGTCAGGATAGAAGGAAAAGTGGATGGGGCAAAATACCGTCAAATTATTGAGCAAAATCTGCTGCCCTCTGCCAGAAAGTTGAAAATGAGAATAAGGTTTACCTTCCAACATGACAATTACACAAAGTACATAGCAATACTGACCACACATTGGTTGAAGGAGAAAAAGGTGAATGTCCTAGCATGGCCTAGTCAAAGCCCAGACCTAAAGGTGACCTATTATGCCCCTTTTTACAAGATGTAAAATAACTATTTGATGTCCCCAGAGATATACAATATACAGTGGGTACGGAAAATATTCAGACCCCCTTACATTTTTCACTCTTTGTTATATTGCAGCCATTTGCTAAAATCATTTAAGTTAATTTTTTTCCTCATTAATGTACACACAGCACCCCATATTGACAGAAAAACACAGAATTGTTGACGTTTTTGCAGATTTATTAAAAAAGAAAAACTGAAATATCACATGGTCCTAAGTATTCAGACCCTTTGCTGTGACACTCATATATTTAACTCAGGGGCTGTCCATTTCTTCTGATCAGCCTTGAGATGGTTCTACACCTTAAGTTGAGTCCAGCTGTGTTTGATTATACTGATTGGACTTGATTAGCAAAGCCACACACCTGTCTATATAAGACCTTACAGCTCACAGTGCAAGTCTGAGCAAATGAGAATCATGAGGTCAAAAGAACTGCCTGAAGAGCTCAGATTTTTTAGAGCTTGTTGAAATTGGCACTTTTAGGGTGTGTGCCAAAATGTGCCGTTTTTGTATTTGTCTCTTTAAATGCAAATGAGCTGGTGCTCCCCTCTCCCTTTTCAGAAAAGGGCGGAGCTTTAAGAGCTCATGTTTCAGCATACCAGCATCAACAAAGCAAGACAATCTCACGCAGTCTGATTGTACTTTGCATAGTAAATGCAATGAATTATTTATGAATTACACAGACGGGGAGTGAGGCGCAATAAAAAATAATGACATAGCTTGTATCATGGTGCTTTCGAGTGCAATCACAAACTTTATAAGACCCACTTGTAATTATGAGGTCGACAAATTCAAGAGGTCAACTTCTTATTATTTTCATATGCAATTTTGTAACTACCACATTCCTATTTACGATCATTCTGGTAGCATGTGAAGGCAGCATCAGTGAAAACAGGCAGAGACAATGGTAGCTTTAGCTTTAGCTAATTGATCCCTCTTTCAGAAGCAAACTTTACACAACTCCAGTGCTGAACTGATCCTCATTTGTGAGGCAGTCCAGCGTAAAATGATTGGCACAAACATATAGGACTTTGACGTTTATTTATTTTTATTTTTTCCGGGACATTCCCTTCAAAAATGAAATGTAACCACTGTATCTCTCCAGCAGCTACAGCAAGAAAACAGTAATGGCGGACTGCCGCTTCTCACTCAGGGCGGTGTCTATGCTAATAGGTTAGAGAGTGCCACAAATGGGTGGGACTTTTTCCCTACAATGACGTCAATGTGGGGAGAAACCTAGAACTGCACATTTGGAGAGACTGTTTATGATTTATTGGGATTATGAAAAAAAAATGAATGGGTGGATTTTTACCATTATTGTCACGAATCCGGTCCGTGGGCTTCAGGCCGATTGCCACTAGAGGTTATTATCCCATTATATTGACTCTCACACCACACAGACTGTTACACATCACCCTGGACTGCATTTCCCATCAACCATTGCACTGATTACACGCACTCAGCTGAATGCACTGATCACACACACACACACACACAGCCGAATCCAATCAGACATGCTACTTAAGCCATGGACTTCCTCTCTCTCACTGCCGAGTATTGTTCTGCATTTTTCACTCCCCAAGTGTTAGCTGCCTTACTGAGCCATTCCATGTTTTCTGTTTTAGTCTAGTGTATTGTTTTGCATGTATCCCTGTTTAACGGATAGCTACCTTACCAAGCCTGTTTAAGTTTTCATAGTTTTCTTACTCTAGTCTTAGTCTTGCCTTGTCTGTTTTCCTGGTCTCTGATTCACGCCACATCTCTTGGATTAACCCTTTGCTTGCTGTTTCTGACTCTGTTTGCCCTTGCTTGGACCTTTGCCTTCTACCTGGATTTATCTCTTGCCTTGCCTTCGATGTACCCGTTTGCCATTGTCTGACCCATGCCTGTTAAAACCACGTCTCTTAATAAAAGCTTGCACATGGATCCTCACGCCTCATGTCTCGTCGGTCCCGTTACAATTATAGGCTGGTTGTATTCACAAAACTGCGGCCACACAACTGTGTTCAAACACCTAGTAGGTCACCTTTAAAGACCATTGAAAATCTGTGGAATGACTTGGAAGACTGCAGTCCACAAACTGTTACCATCAAATTTAACTGAACTTGAGCAGTTTTGCAAAGAAGAGTAGGCAAAGTCTGGATGTGCAAAGTTATTAGAGGCATATCCCAACAGACTGAAGGCTGAAATTAAATACTGACACAAGGCAGTGATCCTTTTTTTAACTGTGATTCCATTTTTTATTATTATTATTTTTTTAAACAAAACTGCGTCCGTCTTCATTTCAGGCTGACTTGATTATTTTAAAGGGGAGTGATTATTTTCTATACCCAATGTACATGCAAAGGTCTCATACTGAAAGACAAATAAATTATATCACCCAATGTCTATCCAATGTCTATCCTTTACTTTATTTCTGTAAAGCAATCACAAGACAAAGCAGCAAGCTAATGGCAAAAGTGTTTTGTGGTGGAATATTGAGGTATGAGGGGCGGTGAAGTTAATTTGATTGATCTGTCTATGGACCTTAGTCAGGGTAGATTCCATATTTAATTTGACAGGAATGAAAACGAGACTGAGGAACAGAAGCAAGGGAGACAAGGGAGAATTATTAACAGGGTGTAATTGAAGCACAATATATTTTGTCAATCACAATTAAAGATACAGTGATGACACATTTTAGTGTGGCTGTGAGTTTTTTCACAAGTTTATGACAATTAAAATTGGGGGGGGGGGAACTTTATAAAAATGTGTAATGGACATAATGGAGGTTTTCAAATTTTGATGTCACAAACCAACAAATTGTTAATCTTTTTATTGTTTTATTAAGTGTTCATATTGTTTTTTTAATCCCTTTTTATCTCCACATTGTATGTATAGTTTATTGTGGATTTATACAACTTCTGAATAGTCTCCAGTTTAATGTCGTCTATCAGAAAATGTGCCAATTGTATCAGAGATGTTAAAGGGGTCATATGATGCAATTTAAATTGTATCTTTCTCTCAGGAGTGTTACAAGCTCTTGGTGCATAAAGAAGATCTGTAAAGTTGCAAAGACTAAAGTCTCAAATCCAAAGAGATATTCTATATAAAAGTTAAGAGTCAAGCGCCGCAACGCTGAACCCATATGTCATCTGCCTGGAGCTGCTTCCGTGTAGGACTGTTGGCGCAAGCTACATTAAAGTGATTATTACGTTTTGAATATGGATATTTTTCTTACAAAAACGCATCGATTCGCTACAGGAGGCCTTTGTTCACCCCCCGGAGCCATGTGAGACGAGACACTTGTTTTTATGGATGGGCACTTTTTATTAAACTTATTTTGAACTGATGCATGCAACACCCGCTGAGTGGCATTAAATAGCTTAAAGATCAAAGACAATTTTTTATATAACTCCGACTGCATTCGTTTGAAAGAAGAAGGTCATATACACCTAAGATGACTTTAGGGTGAGTAATTTGTGGGCTAATTTTCATTTCGGGGTGAACCCTTTAAAGGTGAATATTGAAGTTTGCCGTCATTTGGATGCAATACTTCTTTGTTGTTTGGACACAGTCCTTCCAAATGTGGTAAGTCGGAAATCATTCAACAATCACTGTATTGGCTTCTTCTGTCATTGTCACTTGCACTGTTTGCCACATACACTATATAGTGTAGCTTTCTCTGTCAGTGGCTAGAGAATCAAATGTGATAAATGCAGGGAAATAGTTAGGCTGACAGAGAAGATTTCAGGACTAGAGACACGCATCCAAACTTTAATTGAGGATAGTAAAAATGTGAGAGCCTTAAATACGGCTTTGGATGCGACTAGATTATTGAGTCCTGTACACTGTGAGGCAGCATAGTCGTGGGACAAAACACAGCTCTTCCATTCCGATTAAAACATTAAACAGGTTCTCCCCACTCAGTGACGCACACACTGAGAAACCTGATGAAAGTGCTCTAGTCATTGTCAATTATATTGTACGGAATGTGAAAATTGAGACGCCAGCCACCATAGTCAATGTTTACTGGGAGCCAAAGCACCTGACATCTTGGCAAATTTAAGTGCTGGCTAATGCTAAATGTAAATTCAGTAGGGTTTTTATTCACGTCGGCACTATTGATGTTAGTCTTTGCCAGTCAGATATCACTAAAAATAACATTAAAGAGGTGTGTGAACTTGCGAGTATGATGTCAGACACTGTAATATGCTCTGGTTCCCTCCCTGCTTACCGTGGTGACGAGATGCATTGCAGACTGTCGTCACTCAATGGCTGGATGTCTAAGTGGTGCCCGCAGAATAACATAGGTTTCATAGACAATTGGACAAGGTTTTGGGGCAGACCTGACCTGTTGAAAAGAGATGGTCTTCATCCCTCCAGGGGTGGTGACACTCTTCTATCTAGAAATATGGCACATATATTTAGAGTTTGTTCTTGACTAACTGGGGCCCAGGTCAGACAGCAGAGAGACTGGCTAAACCGACTGAGACTCTTTCACCTAGATATCATACTATAGAGACTGTGTCTGTTCCCTTGAACTAGCAAATACAAATACAAAAAAATAAATAGAAACAAATAAAAAAAGAATGTTCAAACCAATTGAATTGGATGTTCAACAAATAAAAAACAGGTATAAAACAGATAAAACAGATAAAACAGATAAATTAATGCATATTAGATCAGAGGCTAAAACCAGATGCTTTCTGTCACGGGACCGTCAGGAAAGCACACCGTGGAACAAAGGGTTTGGGTCCAAATGCAGGCTTTATTTACACTGCTGGGGAAAACAAAGTAAAAACAGAAAACAAACAGAGCTGAGACTCTGAGACACCGGCTGAGAACGGATACAGCAATCACTGACACAAAACATTAATCATCCGCGCCTGGGTGGCGTGGGGAAGGCACGTAAATAGCCCTCGGAAGTGGCTACAGCTGTGTGTGAGTGAGTGTGTGAGTGTGTGCCCAGGTGTGTTGGGTCAAGGTGACGGAAAGGGAGTCCGGGAGGATGGGAGTTGGCGACCTCTGGTGGTGAGAGGGAGAACACCAGACGCCAGACCCCGACAGCTTACATTATTCTAAATGAGTCTACTTCTCAAGATTATGGTTATAAACATGAGCTGCGTCCAAAAGTTAACAAATTGTTGCTACAATTTAAAGTAATATTTCTCGTATTTCTCAGAGCTCTGGTTTCAAGTATAATTTTTTTGAAGTAATGGTGCTTCATATAACATTATCTAGAGACATAAGTGTTAATGATAAATCCCCTGTGATGTTTGCACTGGCTACTGTATACAGGCCACAAGGACACCATACAGACTTTATCAAATAATTAAAGTCTTATTTGTTGGTAATTTTAATATTCATGTTGATAATGAAAAAGATGCATTGGAATCAGCATTTAGACATTTTGAACTCTGTTGGGGTTAGACGACACATGTCAGGGCCTACTCATTGTGGTAATCATACTAAAGATTTGATACTGTCACATGGAATTGATGTCAATGGCGTTGAAATTCTGCACCAGAGTGGTGATATCTCAAATAATGATCTAGTCTTGTGTATTCTCCATTTAGCTAAAGCTGCAAACTCCTTGTTAGAACCATAACTTCTACAACAAAAGACTGCTTTGTAAATCATATTCCTGGCGTTTCTTAATTCCTCAGCAAATCCAATAGCTTAGAAAAACTTGATGTTATAACAGAAACTATTGACTCTCTCTTTTCTAGCACTTTAGATATGGTTGCTCCTTTACACTTAAAGAAGATTAAGGAAAACAATTGACACCGTGGTATAATGAGCATACTCGCACATTAAAGAGAGCACCCTGGAAAAAGGAGCGCAGCTGGAAGAAAACAAAACCAGAGGAATTTTGTATTGCATGGAGGGAAAGTACTTCTATTTATAGAACAGCTCTAAAACTGCTAGATATGCTTACTTTTCATCTTTTTAGAAGAAAACAAACACAACGGCAGGCATTTATTCAATACAGTGGCTAAATTAACAAAACATAAATCATTAACAGGAACAGACATTTCTATACAGGACAGCAGTAATGACTTTGTGAACTTTACTTCCAAGATCAATAATATAAGAGACAACATTCCAACGTGCATCTGTCAGCTACAGTATCACATCAGTGCACTATAGATCCCCTGAGGAACAATTCAACTCATTCTCTGCTATAGGAGAGTAAGAATTTTATAAACTTGTCAAATCATCAAAATAACATGCATGTTAGACCCTATTCCATCTAAGCTACTTAAAGAGGTGCTTTCAGAAGTCATAGATCCTCTTCTGAATATTATTAAATTGTCAATTTAATTAGGATATGTCCCCAAATCCTTCAAGCTGGCTGTTATTACGCCTCTCATTAAAAAACACAACTTGATCCTCAGAGAATTAGTTGATTACAGACCAATCTCTAATCTCCCTTTTCTGTCAAAAAATACTAGAAAAGGCAGTATCCTCTCTGCTATTTCTTCTTAGAGAGAAATGGTATCTGAGAGGACTTCCAGTCAGGATTTAGACCTTATCATAGTACAGAGACTGCTCTCATCAGAGTTACAAATTACCTGCTCTTATCATCCGATCATGGTTGTATTTCACTATTAGTGCTACTGGATCTTTTCCCTGCATTTGACCACAACATTCTTTTGAATAGACTACAAAATGATGTTGGCTTTAGTGGCATTGCATTGGCATGGTTCAAATCTTACTTATCTGACCGTTATTAATTCATAGCGGTGGAAGAAGAGGTATCATATCTATCACACATACAGTATGGAGTACCACAAGGCTCAGTACTAGGACAGCTGCTTTTCATGTTTTAAATGTTATTCTTGGGAGGTATCATCAGGAAACATGGTGTTAACTTTAACTGTTATGCTGATGATACTCAGCTCTATATATTTTTGCGGGCAAATTAAACATACCGATTTACAAATCTAATGTAATGCATAGTTGTAGCGACTCAGCTCATGGGAAATATGAATAATTAACCATAACTAGTTATAATTAATTATGAATATTTTAGATCCGCTGTAGATATTTAGCTGACCTCTCAGGGTCAACTGTCTTGTCAATTCTAAGAACGTTAATTTCCTGGTTAAGGGAAATAACTTTCTTACTGTACAATTCTACAAAAGCTTGTAGCATAAATCTGCATGATTAAGTGACTCCAGTTATAATCAAACAATGAACCACGTCAAGTGTGATACAAGTAAGGTTTTATTAACTACATAAACACTTAAACTAGTCTAACATACTACATAAACACATAAACTGGTCTAACATACACACACACACACGCATACAGTTGGCATAGG